TTGAAAATTTCTAATTGTTATTACTAACTCACAAGATGATATTTACCAAAAAAACTTTACCAAACAATTTATTTACCAAGAGAAGAATCACTTTTCCGATTTTCTCACTCGTTAGATCTATCTATACAGCTCGACGCTTCAAACCAGACTGAGTTCAGCTTTGAAAATCTTTTCCTCTAGATTTTATGATTATAAATCTCACTATACAGTGCGTGCTATGTTCGCATACCGATCTTTCTTCTACAAACTTGCCTTATCGCTCTTTTCAAATGGCGCCTTCGAAGTGCTCGGACCGCCGTGAGCACGCCTCTCACGTTCTCGTCAAAACCCGCTCACATTTCTTGTATATATCTTAGTAATTTTACTATATTTTGATTTGATTTCTTGTGACATTTCAAGAGAAAACTTCGGGGAAACATGCATGTCTCAAAAAGTTGCGCTGAAATAACTCAAGTAAATACGTAATCACTAGTAAACTTTAATGTCCCACGAGAGGGGACAGCGGAGTGCAAAGGGTTAAAATTACAAAAGATCGTTTTTCTTTTCTTTTTGTTTTCGCAAGCGTTACTATAAATAAGTAATATATATATATAATTAATAATAATAATAATAATATTTTATATATATATATAAGTAATAAGTATATAAATATGCATAAATAAGTAATCGGTACCTCTCAATGATTTCATTGAAGGATCAAATTACATACTGAATTCCGATTTTAGAGATATCGGACAGAGAATTTTAATCTACTGAACTTTATGCATGAATTTTAATTAAAACTTAAATTTAAAACGTATATTCTAATTTAAATTAAACTTTGTGCGAGAATACTTGAATATTTTACAGAATAGCAAATACAGAGTGGTTTTATTCCATATGTTTTTTCATTGAACTGCTTTTGAAAAAAACTATTTAAAATAAATATAGATATTGAAGCACTCGTAGACGATTACTTTATACAACCCCTGACGATAAGTATTTGGCTGGAAGCACAATGCTATCGAATTAAGCCTAAATTATATCGTGTTCAATTTTATTTCGATCAGAAATATTTGTTCAAACTATATCGTGTTTGGTCTCATTTTAATAAGAAAACTATCGGTAATATGTTTAAAAAGTAATCAGTTTCAAAATGTTAAAATTTAAAAAAGTTACGTCGTATTATTAGTTGTCTTCCGAGAATTCAAGTCAAAGCAGCACACGTGTATACCGACTTCGTCGAACGTTAGCATCGGCGAAGCGAGGAAATCGATAAATTACAGGGCCGTAGCAATATCATAGTTTATGTACATAAATCCCAGCATACTGAAATCCAACAAATACCGGGGAAACTACTGTATTAGGGAATATTGAAAGGTGGGAGGTTCGAACCGACCTAACTGAAGCCACGCGCCGTAATCCAGTACATCTTTCTGGCCTTTTATCAACAAATTTAATACTAATTATCTGAAAAACTATAAGCCGTCTATCCCAAAAACCGGGTATCCATTGGATTCAGCTTTACAAGATCTATCACCGTACCAAATCTCATCAAAAAATGAGCGTCAACAAGAGACTTCTCCTTGTAAGTTCTAACCGCAGTCCTTTTATCAGAAGGCTCGCCTGCACTCGATGACCAATTCCTTTATGAAAATCATTGTTCCTTCAAGATAGCCGTACGACGTCGCATCGAGTCGCTCATCACACTTAAAGATTCCTAACTTTCTAAACATATGTCAACGAATGTAACCGAGCAATAGCGTTCGAGGCACGCCGACATTTTCCGAATACTTAAAAATAACACACAAGGAATCGGCACTCGGGGTGTGAACGCTTTTATCTAGCTGACCTCCCCAGGGCCGACGGCGACCCTGCATGGTTGGAACTCATTACGATGGATCGATCCGACAAAAATAGGAGTCGGAGCGCATTCGACAATAACACGTGTTACACCGAACGTCTTAGCCGAAAGATGCGAACTAAAATGTTTTCCTAACCCTTTGCACTCCGCTGTCCCCTCTCGTGGGACCTAGTAATTCTAGCATATCACTCGGATGTCCCCTCTCGTGGGACATTAAAGTTTATTAGTGATTACGGGGAATTCAGTTATTTCAGCGCAACTTTTTCAGACATGCATGTTTCCCTGAAGTTTTCTCTTGAAATGGCACAAGAAATCAGATCAAAATATAGTAAAATTACTAAGATATATACAAGAAATGTCAGCGGGTTTTGACGAGAACGTGAGAGGCGTGCTGACGACGGTCCGAGCACTTCAAAGGCGCCATTTGAAAAGAGCGATAAGGCAAGTTTGTAGAAGAAAGACCGGTATGCGAACATAGCACGCACTGTATAGTGAGATTTATAATCATAAATCTGGAGGAAAAGATTTTCAAAGCTGAACTCGGTCTGGTTTGAAGCGTCGAGCGGTATAGATAGATCTAACGAGTGAGAAAATCGGAAAAGTGATTCTTCTCTTGGCAAATAAATTGTTTGGTAAAAGTTTTGTTTGGTAAATATCATCTTGTGAGTTAGTAATAACAAACAGATATTTTCAACCTATGTAGTTATTCATATTTTTTATTAGAACAATGGCAAAACGTTCAAACAAGAATGAGTCTCATGACACAAGTAGTAGCGAAGATGAGCTCAAATGAAGGTTTTCTTCTGCAGTTAGTCTATCGTTTTGATAGCAGCGATAGTGATATCGTCCAAGCAACAAGGCGACGAGAGAAAGAATTCGCTTAGATAGCGATTACAACAACGAAACAAAATTATAAAAAATAAAATATTGATTTTTTGCAAATTTCTCGATTTCAGCCAATTCATATAAGTCCAATATCATTATAATATGTTAGTTAGTTCCAAAAGCATACTAAATAATACGAGGGTATGTAAATGCCCGTTTCTGCCGAAAAGTGGCGCTGAGTAGCTGGTAGCCAACGTCCAGAATGGTTCGGAGTGCTAAGGGCTAAATTATGACGGAGCCAAAGAACTTAATTATATACAGAGCGCTTCAGAATAAGCGTAGAACCCGGAAGGTTTGATTCTTAAGGCGATTCGAAGTAACCTTTTTTCGTTAACTAACTGACGAATATGTTAGTTAATCGCCTAGCTTGTCAAAACGACGGATTTTAGATACTTCGCGAAGATTCTTTCGTGGCAAAATATTAAGTAAGTACATTTCTAAGAAAAAATTGAGAACACCGCCTGCGATAGTATCGTATCAGGGAATTAATATAAAACTGATGTATACTCAATTTCTATGAAAGGTCTGTATTTTTTAATTCAATGCGATTAGGCCAAGTGGTTGTAAGTCATGTTGCCTATGTCTCGAACGCAATTTTACCTTCAAAATACGATTTTAGTTGTTATTAATCATTAATATTGTAGAATAAACATGTTTTATTTTTTGTAAAGCTCAGTATTTTTACAAAGCTTAAAAATTGAAGAATGCGTTACGAGCCGAGGGCCAGACAGCTTTGCGTGGCCTAGGATTGGATGCGATTTTGGTCTTTTTGATAAGATTATAATTGCGTGGACTAGCCAATGCTTCTTTCATCAGCGGGTTGCCACTAGGAGGTAAGATGGTAGAAAAATTCGAGTTTGGGTGCCTCGTAACTTTCACAAAGGAGTAATGACACCTCGAGCGGTAAAGATGTACTGTAATTTCTCCCTAATTCGTGCTCAGATTGCGCACAAAAATCAACAATTTGGGAAGAGGAGATACGATTATTCATTATTTATAGTTACCGATTGTCAACAACAAAAACGAGACTAATAACTATAGTAAATATCAATAACTAGTATTAGTAGTAACTATACTAAAAACTATAAAAAAAAACGAGAATATATATATAAAATAATATATATAAATATACATTACTAGTATTGGTAATAACTATACTAAAAACTATAAAACGAGAATATAAAATAATATATATGAATATACATATATGTAATATACAGGGTGTCCCGAAAATGTCTCGCAATCCGAAAATGGGAGGTTCCTGAGGTCATTTGAAGCAACCTTTTCCTTTGCGAAAATTTTCTCCGAGGCTTCGTTTACGAGTTATTAACGAAAAACACTGACCAATAAGAGACGAACTTGGCTGGCGCGCGGCGGCCCAGCCAACGAATGCGCAGAGCCCAGTTCTGCTCATTGGCTCGGCCGTCTCGCGCCAAATGATCTCACCTCTGATTGATCACTGTTTTTCGTTAATAACTCATAAACGAAGCCGCGGATCACATTTTCGCTAAGGAAAAAGTTGCTTCAAATGACCTCAGGAACCCCCATTTCTGGATTACGAGACATTTTTGGAACTTCCTGTATTTCCTTGGAAACTGTAGTGGCGACGTCCATTTGTGCCCCGGTCCCAGAAAATTCGTCGTCGTACCCCTTCGAAGATACGTTACAAATGTATGAAAAGATGGTGTGCATTTTCCTTTCCGCCTTAGGAGTAAGAAGTCAAAGTTATAACCCCGTCGATAAGGTGTTAATTCAACTAAATATTAATCAACTACGACGGTGCCAACAATTCTCGTTTGTGTTACGTACTTTCGACTCCGGATGAATTTCCCTCAAATGCAGATTCTCGTGGAAACTGATATGATTCTCGGGATGACAGTCCATTGAGTAAATAACTTTATCGAAAAGTCCATATTTTGTTAGACGATTTATTGGTCCCACAACATCAAAGCCATCCTGATTGCTTTCGAAATCACGGAGAGCTAATGTTCCGTCGATAAAGTCATTTTGCACATCTACGATCAGCAGCACGTTCACCGGCACGATTGTCATTTGCAACCACTCATGAAATCTGCATTTGATAAACAATTGAAGCTTAGGAAAATTTGGTGTGCACGTAACTTGAAGCAATCTGCTGCATGCAATTTTAATCAATTAAATTATGTTATTATTATGTTGTTGTTGTTATTATTATTATGTTATTATTATGTTATTATCATTATGTTATATATCTATATTACTATCGAGCATATATTGGGTTGGCAACTAAATAATTGCCGATTTCAGTTATAGATGTGTCTCACTCACATTTTTATGATATCCGTGGAAGGTTATATTGTAAAATTATTATTATTATTATTATTATGTTATTTTTTATTATCCGTGAATGTTAGCAACTGGACAAATTGAATGCAGCGGTCAAGGAAAAGCGACCAGAATTGGCCAATCGTAAAGGTGTCATTTTCCAGCTGGACAATGCTAGGCCGCACACGTCTTTGTCCGCTCGGCAAAAATTGATGGATATTGGTTGGGAATTGATGTTACACCCACCATATAGCCCTGATCTCACGCCATCGGATTACCACTTATTTCGATCCCTGGACAACTCCCTTCGTGGTAAAACTTTTAATGACGATGACGCTGTAAAATCTCACTTAACTCAGTTTTTGGCCGAAAAGGATCGGACTTTCTACGAGCGTGGAATTTTCAAGTTGTCAGAGAGATGGCAAAAGGTCATCGAACAAAATGGAAAATACATTGCAGATTAAACTTCGTTCCAAGTAAAAAGAAATTTTTTATTTCACTGAACAAATCGGCAATTACTTAGATGCCAACCCAATAGATATTATCATCGAGCAACCTTAAGGTAGCCATGAAATGAAAGCAATTTATTTAATGAAATGAAAATAGGAACGTTAATATACAGGGTGTTCCGCCTAAATCAGGCCACCGGAATATCTCCGCCAACAGTAATGTTACAAAAAAACATTCAATATGGAATTTGACTGGTATCAAAAGGTGAATACGATGCATAAAGTACGTGATTGTTTTCCAAGGTCATTTTTTCCAGAGTCTGCAGGGTCGTCGATGTTAATTTGCACATAAATGCATATTTTTTTAACCGCATTGTGTAGTTGAAATTAAAATACATTCAAACGTGTATCATGATTTGACCCTGAGATAACCTTTGACTCCAACCATGAAAACAAAACGTGAGATTGTTGCCTGTTAGTATCCCAAGATTTAGAGACAAAGGCGATACGCGCCAACCTGTGAATGTAAATAATGTTACTATCATAGGTTACTATCATAACGAATAACTTTTAATTAAATAGGTTTGACCTTCATGTGTCCTCTACGCCTCCACCGATTACAAAATTATTGTCATCATATTATGTGCCCCTCGATGCCGAACAACTTATGTCTGGAACTTTTTTGTCTATTGTTAAAGTTAGATGGGTTATTCAGGTGACCTGTTTTAAATGTCCCACCCTGTGTACCAAATTATTAACAGTGTAATAGACGCCCATTGCGCATGCAGAAGAAACATGAACGATTTTAGAAAGTCCAAGGAAAATTATTTTAACAGAAAAAAATTCCTTTCTCATTCATTTATTAGAAAGATTTTTGTTAGTTATTGACATCGCACAAGGTATTAGTTGGCTAACTCTAACAAAAATGTACCGTCCTGTATGTATTATTACGCAGTTTTTCAGATTTTAAACTACAAAAGTAACAAATAGTTTTTACCGTTTGTAAGATTGTAGGTTCTCCAACACGAGGCTGACGAGATAGTTGATTTTTTTAAACAAAAGTGAGAGTGAAGGGGATCGTGGATAGTTACGGAACGAAGAGAAAGGGGAAATTAAAAGTGGAGGGGATAAAATGTGATTCGGAAAAGACAGAAAAATGTTAAAAATTGATTGTCGGTATGGAAACTTGCCGATTCGTGCAAGCAGCTTCAACAATTTAATCGTTCGCTATGTAGACAAAAATTCGTAATTAATCTTGAAACTCCGAGAAAAATGATCTCAGCAGAAAGGTATTGTTTCCAAGCGTATTTGTTCGCTGACGTTTACAAATTACACACATACAAGACGTGCAGATACGTAGATCTAATTTCTCATTACATGAGTCACTCTCGTATTTAACGGTCGAGTGAGCGTTACGTACGTTTCCGGTTGTTAAAAAAGACCGCGGCTGAACACGCAAGATATCCGCACTGTATTTTAGAGCATTGAATTTAGAGCGTGGTACGCTAACTCGTACTGCGCTTTTTTTATTTATTTATTTAGCACGAAAGATCTCCGAGTAGTAGACAAATGTCGATAGAGTATCTGCATAATATACATTTCGATCATTTCTAACATTTTGATTAAATGTTAAATCGATGAAATGAAATAAAATATTTAATTAAATAAATAATCATGAATTAAGAGAAGAAAAGTATATAAACAAGTGATAGCGAGAAAAAAGTAAGAAAATAATGAAGTTCTAAAAAAAGTTTTTATAAGAAACATATGTTTAGAACATGCGAAGTCAAAAAAAGTTTGTTATATGTATGTACTGAATTTTTATGGAAAGATTTCACACACACGATTGAACAAGCTTATTATTCATTTCACAGGAATACACATGTTTATACATACCAGATACGACTAGAGTGATTGGTAACGGTCGTGTTTTGCTGATTCGCCGTGACTCGGTTAAACACATCAAAGACCATGTGGTGTGTATCAAGTTTTATAAGAGGGAGTTTAACCCTTTGCGCTCGAGTGGTGACTCCGAGGCACCACTAAAATTGTTACATCACGTTCGAAGATAATTTTTATATTATAAAAGCTTAGATATAATATATAGACTAAATTTTAATCTATATATAATATATATATTAATATTAATCTATGTATAAATATAATAATAATATATAATATATTATATTAATTAATATATTATATATTATATTATATTATATATAATATATATATAATAATATAATAATATAATATTAATCTATATATAATATATAGACTAAATTTTATATGCATAAAATGCACTTTGTCATATAAAATAGAAATACTATATAAGTCCGACGAATGAATTTAGATTTATGGTTAAAGTTGCTTCGAGTGCAAAGGGTTAAAACCTCTTCCAGCGTTGGGGAGAGAATTTAACTTGCAGAAAACAAATGCTAGCAAATGCAAAGCAAGACATCCCTACAATTTCTCCCCTTCTCGGCCGGGCTTTAGCCCTGGTAGCTGCTCGAAAATCCATCTGCGCGATCAATTTTTTATAATGCTTTTCATGTGACAAACTCACCTTTTTTTTAACTTATCCAGAAATTTAAAAATAGCATAAGATACAAGATACGATGTAAGATAAAATATAAGATAGGATATAGGATAAGATATATATGGTAAGAGATAAAATACAAATGCTGCATTTAATATGCGCATTTCTATAAATGTCATAAAAAGCTTTATAAAAACTGAGCGAGCAGTTAGATTTTCGAGCAGCTAGTAAGGCTAAAGCCGAGCCGAGAACGAAAATTAGACGGAAGGCTCGCTTTGCACCTAGCATTCGTTTACTACAGGTATCCCTCGCCCTCCCTCAAAGCTGAGAAAGATTCACAACTTCCTTTTAACCATTTAGGCCCGACGCGTCACTATAGTGGCTTGCTCTAGTAGCTCACTCGCTCATCGTTTGAACCAAATAATCGTCTTCATATGCATTGTTTCACACTTCTTTTGTCTTCACATCGATTTACAACAGTCTACAGGGTGTCCCAAAAATATCTCGCAATCCGGAAATGGCGGGTTCCTCGGATCATTTGAAGCAACTTCTTCCTTTGCAAAAATGTTCTCCGAGGCACCGTTAACGAGTTATTAACGAAAAACAGTGACCAATAAGAATCGAGTACGGTTGACGCGAAGCGGCCCAGCCAACCAGCGCGCGAAGCCCAGTTCCGCTCATTGGCTCGATCGCCTCGCGCCAGCCGAGCTCGCCTCTCGTTGGTCACTGTTTTTCGTTAATAACTCGTTAACGGTGCCTCGGAGAAAATTTTTGTAAAGGAAAAAGTAGCTTCAAATGGCCCGAAGAATGCGCCACTTTCGGATTGCGAGACATTTTTGAGATACCCTGTATATACAGACAGAATATACAGTATCAGACTCTGTACAGTACATATCAGACTCTGCCGTCCAGAAAAATAGTCTCGCGCAGAATTCAGCCGTACCTAAAAGGTTAAAGCTCGATGCACACCATATATTCGCGGCAGCAAGGCTGGTCCCAGCAACACTGGTCTTACGTTCGCAAATGTTTACGCTTACAATTAGGATCTTACAACTTACAAGGAGAGGTTCACAGGCCTGATGCTGGCTTTTTGAAAGAGATTGATAGAAAGAGACAGTGGTAGAGCTTGTAAAACTGAATCTAGCGATACCCGATTTTGGATGCAGACGACTTATGGTTTGTAAGATATTTAATGTCAAAATTGTTTCAGGCATTCCAGAGAAGTGCTTACAAGTGGTGGGGGAATAGTAGAGTGGTAACATTAGAAATGGGAGTGAGCGAGTCTTTCAATAGGTTTCTCTTCCTCACTCTGCCACAGTGGGGCTGAATGAAACCCCGTTGGGTTACAGTTAGGATTTCTTGCTTCAGGTCTGGGGTCCTCTCCTTGTTAGTAAAAGTGTGAAATATCTTACGAAATATTGATTTTGTTATCATGGTACCCTAATAGCTTTTCACGTAAAATGGTCCGAGAAATCAATATGAATAAACAAAAATGTAATTCCATTTTAAAAAATGTGCATCTGCATTTTTCAAATGCATCGCTGCACTTATATGTAAAAAACGAAATCGCAGAAAAATAGACACTGACATACCAACCAACTTTTTTCTCTACAACTCTTTTCTATCTATGTACTACTAAAATCGAGACAATCCGTCCCAATTGCGTGACTCACCCTGTATATACGGGTTGCATCATACGAGTTGTCATATAATTGCACAGCGCAAATAACTTTTAAATTACGCGTCTACTTAAAAATTGTTTTATACAAAAGTAATAGAGTTTTAAGGGGTGGTGATGATGTCGTGTTCGCTTTTTTTATTATATATTGTAGTTTTAAAAATGTTCAAGGTCAACGTCCATTTTTTAAATACAAAGGTATATTTTTCTGATCGTAGATCGATAGAACATTAAATTTTAAGTAGAAATGTATAAACCTATGTTGATCCTAAACTCGATTAACGAGATTTTAAATCGGAGTATGTAAGCCGCGTGTCATCATCAGGGAAATTGTTCACTGGCTAATATCTCGTTAATTATTAAGTTTAAGATCCACATAGGTTTATATATATATATATACTTTTCTTCTTGAAATTTAATGTTCTTTCGATCTGCAATGAAAAAGATATGTCTTTACATTTGAAAAGAGTAAGTTGACCTTGAAATTTTGAAAATTTGTATATTTAATAATTTTTAATTAAATGCATAGTTTAAACGTTATTTAGGATGTGCAAGTTATATGACTCACCCTCTACACACCCTTGTACATGTGTATGCATATTTATAAATGACTGTACTCACATTTTCCACTCCTGTCCCTTCAAGATTCCGTCATGATCATCGTCGAAAAGATCGAAAATATTCCTGATTCTATCATCATTTTGTTTGATTTCATTCGGTGGAAACAGCGCGTTGCAAATCAGTCGAAAATTTTCGTAGTTCAGAGTGTTTTCCAGATTCGGTAAATCGAGGCTAGCCAAAAACTTCTTCACGGACCGGTGTCCTTTCACGCCAAATAAATCGACGTCCAGTTCGTTCTTGTTTCTCTGCATGTTTATATCGGAAGAAATTCAGCGATGTCTCGTGACAATAATTTCACTGATCGAATCCCGATTTTCTAGTACCACAATTGTTTTTCATTCAGAATGCTTATGAAATACTCGCTAATTCGGCCTCCGTTGACGTGCGATTCACTGACAGTCACTCCAAATTGTCGAAGCAACCTTACTTTATGAGCCGATCCTGGCCCGACGATTCTAAACACTGTGCGATACTCTTGCGTAGTACATAGTCATAGTCATTCGCATACGTAAAGCAGAGCTTGGAATTAACTCGCACGCAACAGAGAGAGAGAGAGAGAGAGCATTTTCGGAGACTGGTCTGAAATGTGCTGCAGAGCGGTGGAGGACAATCCCACAAATGGGATTGGATGACATCATTCTGCAACACATTTCAGACCAGTCTCCGAAAATGCTCTGTCTCTGAAAGTTAATTTCCGAGGACTGATATACAGTAATACCTTGAGTTTTGCACGGTTTTTCTATCTCCCTTAAGTATGGCCACAATTTTACTGCAGATACAGTTTGCAGTGAATCCTGTCTTATTACTGAATCGGCAGCCAATCAGAGTAAAGCAAATGTGTACTCCTATATTCTCGCTAGTGGAGAGTCTTGCAAAACTTGAGGTACTACTGTAGTTACAGTAAATAAATATAATATTTAAATATATAAATAAATAAATATATAATATAAATAAATATATATATAAATATATAAATAATAAATAAATAAAATAATATTTAAATATATGTCATTTTTTAAAATGTTCAAAACTAATGATCAAACTATTAATGATTCAAACACAATGATCGATAGTGAACATAAGTAGATATCATCCAATAACATTTAAGATGTGAACTTAAAGCCTGATGCCATGTCAGCCATTTTGAATCAGCGATTTTGATCCGCAATCTACGACGAAACTAGGAATATAAGGAAATGGCTGTGTTGTTTGTTGATCTGGGTTAAGTTTCGCTGTAAATTGCAACAATTTTTGGACACCCTGAATGTGGTATTCAGAATGTCATAAAATAATGGTTACGGAAAATAAAGTATCTGGACCAACAATAAAAGAATTTCCGAAACTCGTAGGAACTCTTTGTTCTAGCCTCGACGACGCATGCTAACCTTTTGGACTAGTGGCAATTAATGAGTGTTGTAATCAATAATAATGGTCGCGCATTGTAATCGACCCTATGTTGAAATGTCTCTGGTTGCCTAACATGGGTTTACTAGGGGGAAGCACTGTTGTACAATATGTGTATTGATTATTCGTTACACGTGTTCTTATTCTACGAAATTCTTCCTGAAAATACACTCGAAGAAATCTGTATTTTTGCAAATATATCGCTATTGCTTCGAGCTCATAATAAAAATGTGTTTCAAGGTTAGAAACAATGTACAAGTTGGACTCAAATATATAAGTTAGACATAACGAAAATATTGAATGAATTTCATTTAAAAAGGAGACTTTAATGATTTCACAAAGTATACATTAAAGTAGTATAACAGGTGTTTTTAAGTCAACCAGGCCGACGTAACATGTTTAATTTTTCAATAAGCAAATCAATTTTATATTAGCCAACATGATTTCTGAAACGCTTTATTTTCTAACGAATATTGTTATTATGATTATTAATATGAACTAAAATAATTATATATATTGTCTTTACTTTATAAAGTTTTATTATTTCCCATTAATTTATTGCTATAAATTAAATTAATAATAAATTAATGTAAAACTGAATACAATTATTGTTAAATAAATTGCTCAAGCTAATTAAATGTATCATTTCGTCGACGCGAATATTATTCAAAAAATGAATACTTAATTTGTAGTTGGAAAAGTTAAAGAATTGTTTTAAATAAACATATAACATGACATTATAAGTACACGT